CTCGGAGGTCTTCTAGACCAACCCCTCGCTCAAGCAGGAGACCCTATGCCATTTCAGACAGATATTTGTCCAATCTCTTCTTAAAAGTCTCCAGGGATGGAACGTCCACGACTTCTGGTGGCAAATAGTTCCGCTGGTTCATCGTCCTCGCTCTTAGGAAATTCCTCCTTAGTTCCAAGTTGCTTCTCTCCTGGATGAGTTTCCACCCGTCCGCTTCTTCTCCTGCCTCTTCAGGGGCTTTGGAGAATAGCTAGACTGCCTTTTCTTTGGGGCAGCCCCTCAAATACTGGAAGGCTGCTATCTTGTCACTCCTAGCCTTTCTTTTCATTAAACAATATCCGAGTTGGAAGCTGTTAGGGATACACCCTAGCAGAATCTGCAGGGCAGTCAGTCAGGCAGGCAAAATATGTGAGATAAACGTTTTTGTAGCTTACACTCAGTAAAACAGATACACCGTGCTAATTAAATAGTTTATTCCAGTAAGATTTATAGCATAGTCAAAACAGTCCATATATCATTCACTAATTCAGTCCGTCCGGGGATTATTCAGTTGCAAATTCCAGTGTCGAAAAAGAGAGGTCAGTAAACTTACAAATATCAGTCCAGTGATATATCTCCTTGCAGTAGAGATATGAAGAAGTCAAAAACTCCTCTCTTCCTTCAGCAACTCAGCAGTAGGGGAAACACGCAGCTAACAAACCATCAATCCATGCAATCCAGTAATTGTCAGCAATCAATCAGGTTCTCTTGCCCCCTCTTATGGTGGTTTCACACCACACCCAAAATTACATGCTTTGCAGTTTTAAAGTGACACACACTTAAACTTACAATCATAGTTTATATATATTATTTTACCCAAACTACCTTAGGTAACCTATGCTATTCCTAACAGAAGCGACCTCAGAGGTCTTACTGTCCATCCCTCTGCTCAAACTGGACACCCTATATACCATTTCAAACCAACAGCTGTCTTCTTAAAGGCCTCCAGCGATGGAGCAGTCACAATTTCTGGAGACATGGAAAATATCAGTTCTTTCCTTTGGGTTGAAGTCGAGGTACACCTCCCAGCCACGGGCGATCCTTCAGTCGCCAGCGTGAAAACCGGTCCTAAGTCACTCTTCTCGGGCCTGTTCTAATTTCGGTCACTAAACCAACCGTTGCAAAGTCGAGGACTACCACGCCCCCCCCGGTGAGGCTTGCAAGCACTCGAACAATGTCCTAAAGCTGCGGCGCTTAAAAGCTTCTGACGTTTCCCGTTTCTCTTTCCAGCCGTTCCCCTGCTAAACCCCTTCCTGGTGAGGCCTTCCCAGGGACCCCCGACGAAACCCGAGCTGTCCATTTGAGCCTCGACAGGCTGGCCACGCTGGGCCGGATCCGCTTAGCCAGAGTGGTGATTGAGACCCTAAGAGGGGTCCCCCGCGAGGACAGCGCTCAGAGTACCCCCAATCAAAAGAGCCCCCGTGGGAAACCCCCCAGGCCAGCTTTGGCTAAGAAGAGGTGAGAGTTTTAATCAGCCCTGTCAACTTGATCCTTTCCCTAAACTCCGGGTGAATTGTTCTTTGAATCAGAGAGCAGAGAGCCCCGTAAACCATCATGCAGGAGGAAGACCTCTTCCAAAAACCATTTTTTAAGGTGGCTACAGATCAGTCGTTTTGCTCTAGCGGTGAAGGCACCAGAACGGAAACCAGGAGATGGTGAGTTCTAGTCCCGCTTTAGGTATGAAGAACAGCTTGGGTGACTTTGGGGGTAATCTCCTGGAAACAGTGAATTCTAATCCTAAGTAAGTTCAAGTTCTAAGGTGCTAGCCTAGAAACCAGGATTGGGTGAGTTCTAGTCCTAAGTGAGTTCTAGTTCTGCAGTGCTGGTCTAGAACCCAGGAGATGGGGTGTTCTAGTCCCACCTTAGACATGGAAGCCAGCTGGGTGACTTTGGACCAATCAAGAGCGGGCTGTGAGTTCTGTGCCCGCCTTAGACAAGAAAGTTGGCTGGGTGATTTTGGGCCAGTCAACCAGGAGATTGTGAATTCTAGTCCCACCTTAGACATCGAAGCCAACTGGGTGACTTTGGGCCAATTACCAGGAAACAGTGAGTTCTAGTCCCGCCTTAGGCATGAACACCAATTGGGTGACTTTGGGACAATCCATCTCTCTGGTCCCTGTCCACCTCACAGGGTTGTTGTTACGAGGTGATGAACTAAAGAATGAATTAAAGCTGCAAAGTTTTGGCCGGTCTTATTAAATATACCGAATTTTGTTGAATTCCCTCGCATTTATTTCCACAATTTCTTCTCTTCCCAGGACCTTCTTTGTCGAGTATCGCTTTCCAGTAAGAACTTCAAAGAACGGGGTAGGCCAGACGGCCGTGACTACGGAAATGGTTCGCGTAGCTTCGAGTAGATACTCAGCAGACGGTAAGACCGGGTGGAAAGGCAACCAATTTTTCCCATAATGGTATGTTGGACCGAGCGGAGTTTTCCACACTGACCATGACTGCAGAAGCAGACCTTTTATACGAGCAACTCTCTATAAAGAAATATTTTCATGGCGGGAATTTAAATATATAGCTAGGCCTCAATTGGGAGAAATTGATAAGACAAGCGGTGCTAAGTAAACCCTGTAAAATATTTGCAGCTCAGGGTTGAAATGAGGAACGCAGAAGTTATATTTCCAAAACTAGGTAACATCATCAGTGCTATTTGATGTGCTAAGGGAGCCCTGTTCAATTTTATAACCATTTCTGCCACATGTCTGTGAAGATTCTCAGTCATCCAGGGTCATAGCTGATTCAAAATTGGTTTATTTATTTTTATATTTTATTTTTTAAGAAGAGACTGGACAGCCACCTGTCTGAAATGGCATAGGGACTCCTGCTTGAGCAAGGGGTTGGACTAGAAGATCTCCAAGGTCCCTTCCAACTCTGTTATTCTGTTAAAAGCTGGTTTTTGCCAAACCACCAACTGCTACTTCGCAAACTGAGAATTCGTCTCTATCCTGGTTTTTCCCGATTGGCCTTTTTTTTCTTTTTAATTAGTCAGTTTACTTTATTATCATTGCACCTCATACAACGAAACCAAACACCATTTTCAGTGCACATCATGACCATGAAATAATACCACTTCAGAAATCTTTAGGTTCTTTCTTGAGTCTTCTTCCACTGAACCCTTGAAATGTTGACGTTAGAAAAGTCCTTTTGCTTTTGTGTCAACCCGATTCCCACTGCAGGGGTGAAGTTTGAGCAATGCTACGTATTCCCTGTCCGCTTCAGTGGCTCCATGATCACCCATTGGTGGACGTCGTCCCTCGAGTTTAACGTGTTTTTGAAAAAAGGCACCCAAAGGAAGGTACTGTCGTTTTCCATATTATCCTCCTAGGTGAAAACTTATCTGAAGACTCTGTTACACGGAAGGGGAAGGGGATTTAATTTATGATTCGTCCCACGGCAGGACCAGAATAGAATGGAAATGGGAATAGGTATAGAATTAATTTGAATTAGAATAAGGATAGGATAGGGATAGGGTGGGAATAGGATTAATTAGAATTAGAGTAGGGATAAGGATAGGATAGGATAGGATAGGATAGGATAGGATAGGATAGGATAGGGATAGAATGGAATGGAATGGAATGGAATAGAATAGAATAGGAATAGAAAAGAGAAGAGAAAAAAGAAGAGAAGAGAAGAGAAGAGAAGAAAGAAGAGAATAGGAGAGAAGAGAAAAGTAGAAGAGAAGAGTATAGAAGTATAGAATAGAATAGAATAGAATAGGAATAGAAAAGAGAAGAGAAGAGAAGAGAAGGGAAGAATAAAATAGGAATAGAATTGAAGAATAGAATAGGAGAGAAAAGAAGAGAAGAGTACAGAAGAGAAGCATAGAATAAAATAGAATGGAATGGAATGAAGAATAGGATAGAACAGAACAGAAACTTTATTGTCACTTTGAATATACATTAAAGTGAAATTTTGTTGCATACAGAACCCCAGTGGGTTTAAACCAACACAGAATTGGTAGCTCAGGCTAGTTCAATGTTTCCAGACAGACAAAAGGAGAGGTGATGAAAGGAGAGATAAGAGAGATTAGATAGATAGATAGATAGATAGATAGATAGATAGATAGATAGATAGATAGATAGATGAGATGATAAAGGAGAGATAAGAGATAGAGAGATACAGTATATACACATACATGCACAAACATATATATGCATACACATATGCATATAGTATATGCATATATGTATAACATGTATACATCTACATATATCTACGTACATTCTCTCTCTCTCTTTCTCTTTCTCTCTCTCTCTCTCTCTCTCTCTCTCTCTCTCTCTCTGGCCAGGGTATTTAATAAAAAATGGAAATAATGACTCCTGGCGTGCACCTACATAGATGGGAGTTCTCAAATATTATTGACTATTCTCCGTGATGCCTTGGACCCTAAATTCTTCTATCCAACATTGATAATGTCCTTTGTCAGTGTTTGGGCTCTTGGGCCTTGCTGTTTAAGAGTCCGTCAGCCAAGTACTCCGACCAGTTGTTAGCCTCCAATGAACGCTCCAGAGACTGCGCCGTCTGTGTGCATTCTAAACATACACAGCGCAGAACAGAGAATTCTGTGCAATACAGATTGTGTAACGTCAGAAAGAGAACCGTGCGGAATGATGTGACTTCCTCTCCTTGTGATCCTCAGCCAGCGCTGGTCGGCGCAGCGGCCTTTCCCCTGCGCGACGTCCTTCGGTCTGAGGATTTATTCGTCAGCCGTGAATTGCCGGTGAAAGAAGATGGTGTCCCAGGCCCATTAGGGCCTTTACAGGTATAGAATTTGTTTCTGACATTTTGTTTCTGGGCTCCTGGGCAGCAACCCTTGTTTAATCGTTCCACGTTTTGATCAAGCGTGCAGTTTTCATGTGTCGAAAGAGCAGTCCAGGATGTCATTGCCCAATCCCTTTGTGGAGGATTTGTTCGTAAAGGTACAGGAGGGTCCCCTCACATCAGTGGTCGCCAACCAGTGGGCCAGGGACCACTGGTGGTCCACGAGAAAATTTGGGTGGTCTGCAGAGAAATGTAGCCCCCCCCCCCCAAAGCAATTAATCCAGGCTGCACAGGAACACAAGGCTGAGCTGCCCACATGGCCCGCGGTAACACAAGGCTTGCGTCGCTTGCATTGCGAACAACACAAGGGAGTGAGGGTGGGGGGGAAAGGGTGGAGGGGGGGAACTTGCCCCACGCGCCCCATGTGCCTGGCCTGGGCACCGGGCTGTTTCTTTCCGCTTCTTTCTTCTGCTTTTGGCTGCACACAAGGAAAGCAGCAGAAGTCTTTCTTTCTCTCCCCCAAATTGCACCAGAAATGAGTCTTTGGGACCGTGCTCCAAGAGGCTATGTCAGCATGACAAGTCTCGCAAACACTCATTGTGACAGAATTTGGGGGAGAGAAAGAAGACTTCTGTGGCTTCTGCTGTTTTCCTTGCATGAAGCCAAAAGTCTCTTCCTCTCTCTCTCTCTCTCCCCGTGAGAACGGAGCTGGAGAGGGTGTCCTGCAACCCCAAATAAAGAACAATCGATCAGTAGGTAAAACAAGGTGGGGGATTTTCCTGCAGACCTTTTTGGGGGGATTTTCCCAGGGTCTCTGCTCCGCGGGATTTAAAAGTATGAGTTTGGTGGTCCCTGAGGTCCAAAAGGTTGGCGACCCCTGCCTCACATTATCCTTTTATATATATATATTTGTATTTTCCAACAAATCCATGTTTCAGTTATACAGCGTGTCAACTGGGTACATATATCTTGTGCCAATATTTATATTTAGTATACATTTCTTACCATGAGTACATTCAGATTAAAAACCACCCAACCTTATATATCTTATTATAATAACAATATTCATTTAACTTCTTACTTTATCTTCCAACCATTTGTAAAATAAATCCCATATCATATTCCGCTTCTTCTTGTTCTTTAATTGCCAATGTTAATCTATTCATTTCTGCACATTCCAATATTTTCATGATCAGCTCTTCCTCTATTGGAATCTTTTCATTTTTCCAATTTTGAGCAAATTCAGTTCTAGCGGTTGTTTATATGTGTATAATTAAATATGTTTTTTCTTTACTATAATTTTTTGGGTAAAATCCCCAATAAAAATATCTCAGGTTTTAAGTCTATGTGTTGTTTTATTATCTTTTTCGAACCATATGTGTATTTTTGTCCAATATCTTTTAGCTTCTTGTACATGCCCACCACATATGGTAATAGGTTCCGGGTGCCTGGTGACATTTCCAGCATTTAGCTGATTTGTCTTTAAACATCTTTGCCAGTCTTGCCCGTTCAAAATGCCATCTATAAAACATCTTATACAAATTTTCTTTATATGCTGTTGACATTGTTAGTTTACTTTCACATTATCCAAGTGGCTTTGCCAAGTTCGCCTGGGAAGGTGATTTGTACTTTCACAAAACAAAATATATCTACAGGAAAATGAAGTGAAAAGGATAGAAAAAGGTGCAGTTAGCCCTTATTGTATATAAGTAAACATTAGTACTATTATTATTAATGACTATTTTTATTAGTATTATTACTACCAGTAGTGTTTTTTTATTATTTTGTATAAGTAAATTGATCCAGGCAATACAAGTGTTTAATAAGCATTTATTTTGTTTTCCAAATTTTTATTTTATTTTATATGTACAATAATTCCATTCCATTTCAACCGTGTGTCAACTAGGTACATATTTCTGGTGCTTACAATTATAATTAATGCTTTGCTTACCAATATAACAACAATCATATTTTCTTGTAAATGTTATCTAATAAGTCTTTTTTTTTTAACAATCTTATCTTATTGCTTATATATCCATCTTGTTCATTTTAATTTGTTTTATTTTCTAACCATTGATCCCATACCATATAATATTCCGTTTCTTCTTTTTCTTTGATTACCAACATTAACTTATTAATTTTTGCACATTCAAATATTTTCTCAATTACTTTTCCGTCTGTCGGTATCTTATCACTTTTCCAATTCTGAGCAAATACAATTCTAGCTGCTGTTAATACATGCGTATGATTAAATATGTTTTTTTCCTTACTGTAACCTTCCGCTATAATTCCTAATAAAAATATTTCAGGTTTCAAATCTTTGTCTTGTTTTACCATTTTGTTCAACCATGTGTGCATTTTTGTCCAATATCTTTTAGCTTCTATACAAGACCACTACATATGGTAGTATGTTCCCAGTGTTTGATGACACTTCCAGCATTTAGCTGATTTGTCTTTAAAATTTTTTGCTAATTTTGCTGGTGCAAAGTGCCATCTATAAAATATCTTATACAAATTTTCTTTATATGTTATTGATATTGTTAATTTATAGTTTCTATTCCATAATTTCTGCCATTTATCTAACTCTATAGCATATCCCCCCCCAAAATTGCCCATGCTATCATTGTTTCTTTAACTTCTTCTTCTTCTAGTTCAACACCTAATAAATAACCATATAATCTTTTAATCAACTTATCTTCTATTCCTGCTAATACCTTATTCAGTTCCGTCAACTCCTTGTAAATCCCTTTGGCTTTTTCATACCTTGATTGTATTTGCGTATACGAATACCAATTCATTTCCAGCCCTTGTTCATTTAATTCTTGTCTTGTTTTGAGCTCAGCCTTTTCATTTAAAATGTCTTCGGTATCTGGCAATAGCTCCCATTTTACAGACATTGGGGTACATAAGCACTTATTTTATTTTACAGAAGACAAAAAAATGCATAAATAAAATAAAAAAATTTTTTAAAAAGAAGTTGGGTCCATCATCCTATTGATGTAATTTTTCTACCTTCCTGTGACAGGTATCCGTGGAGCTTGCAGCTGCTAGCAAAGACGTCTCCAACCTCAAAGCGAGCAGCGTGTCCCCGAGAGCCGCCGTCGGCTCCGTCAGGGACCAGGGCACCATTTTTCAGGACGCCGACAGGAGCCCCTGTTCCACCAGAAGCCCTCAAAGCCCCTGCAAAGCCCCAGTGAGAAGCGAAGCTCCTTTGCCTTCCGCTTTTCAGACGTCCCCCAAGGATGGGGCTCGGCCGCTGGTCCCCCGGCCCGTCTCCCGCAACCTCCTGACCCAGATGAGCGCCTCCTCGGAAGAGGAAGCTATGCTGCTCCACGTCCTTCTGATGGTCTCGGAAGGGCAGGTCGCTCTTCCTCCCAACGGCGGGCCGGACAGCTCTTGCAACCTGTATTTAATCTGCAAGCTCTTCAGCACCGAAGAAGCCACGAGGTCCCCCATCGCCTGGGGGACCTCGCGACCCGCCTTCCATTTTTCCCAGGCAAGTCCAGTGGTGGGATTCAAATTTTTTTTTTTTTACTACCGGTTCTGTCGGCGTGGCAGGGGAAGGATATTGTAAAATCCCCCCTTCCTTCCCCACCCCGCTAAACCTGCTCTCCAGCTCCGTTCTCCTGGGCAGGGCAAGCAAAGGAGACCCAGCCGATCAGCTGTGGGCGTGGCTTGGTGGGCGTGGCAGGGGAAGGACATACCGCAAAATCCCCCTTCCCTCTCCACCCCACTAACCTGCTTTCCAGCTCCCTTCTCCTGGGCAGGGCAACCCAAGAAGAGCCAGCCGATCATCTGGGGACTCGACGGGAGGCGGAGAATAGATGGGGTTGGCGGGGCCAGAACAGAGGCGGGATTAGCCGGTTCTCCAAACTACTCAAGATTTCCGCTACCGGTTCTCCAGAACTGGTCAGAACCTGCTGAATTCAGGCCACTTCTGGGCAAGTCGCAAGCGACCGCTAATGTTTTGGGGCAGAATGGAAGGGAGGCGTAGAGAGTAGCAGAAGGAAGAAGCGATGTAAACCACCATTAGCGGCTATTGTCATCAGTGGGTAATTTGGCCCAGATAGAGAGAAACTTGGGGTAACCCCCCCCTCACATAACTCAGGGTTGATATGAGGGGTCCCCGGTGCTCTCCGATTGGGGTTATTTTCTCGCAGACGTTCCATGACCCAACTAGGCAACGTCATCAGTGTTAGAATGGAGGAGGGGTTGAGGAGGAGCAGAAAGGGGAGGAGGAAGAGGACGGTGGGGTCCTTGGCGCTCTCTCAGTTTGGTCGTTTTCTGGCAGACGTTTCACGACCCAACCATTGCAGGTAACATCATCCGCGTTGGAAGAAAGCGGCATTTGCGGAGGGGCGAAGAGGAGAGAAGGAAGAAAGAGGGAAAGGGAAAAGGACCGATGCTCTCTGAGCTGGGTGGTTTTCTCGCGGACGTTTCGCGACCCAAACTAGACCAGGCTAGCATTGATGCGGTTACCTAGTCGGGTCATGAAACGTCTGCAAGAAAACTCCACAGTACCAGTTGTCCTCCTCTTCCCCCCACCCTCCTCCCTCACTCCACAACCCTTCTTGAACTGATGATGTTACCTAGCTGGGTCATGAAATGTCTGCAAGAAAACGACCACGCTCAGAGAAGGGAACACCGAGGACTGCACAGTCCAGTTCCTCCTCCTCCTCCTCCTCCTCCTCCTCCCCCCCCCCCC